CCGACAGCAGCAGCGACGCCCGCATGGCGTCCCGACAGCGGGCCCCCGTCCCCCGCGCAGCCCGAGGAGGCTCCGAGGGGGCGGGACCGGAGAGGGGGCGGATCCGAAGGGCCCGGGCCCAGCAGGCGGGCCCCCTCCCTCCCCAGCGAGCAGAGCCAGCAGCGAAAGCCGGAACCCCCGCGCTGCTCCGCTGTCCCTCCGGCTGGGCTTCGCCTCCGGGCCTCCCAGGCGGCTGCTGTCCGACGTGTCAGGCGAGGGCCCCGCCCCCGAGGTGGGATCGCAGCCGTCAGCTACCGGAGAGGGAGGAGGGGGAGGAGGTTAAAGGGGAAGGACCCCCGGAAGTGCCCCCTCCTCAGTGCCGGAGAGGCAGACGCCGGGGGCGGAGTCCCCTGCTTCCCCCGGCGTGGTTGGTGCGTCCCTAGTGACGTCAGAAGCAGCCCGCCCCTGCCTGGATGGTGCACCCTGAGTGACGTCAGGAGCAGAGGCCGGAGCTGTCCATCAGCACCAAAGGCCGCCGCCGGGCTCAGGGCATGGGGCCGCGGCTCCGGGGCAGCCCGAGCTCCTGCTCCTGCTCCTGCTCCTGCTCCTTTGCCTTCCCCGGGCTGGGTCCGAGACCCCGGACTGTGGGGCTGCAGTGCCAGCCGGTGTTGGAGGTGGAGCGGCGACGCCGTCGCACAGAGACCTGTCTCTCCGGCCCAGCAGCCCCCTTCACACGGCGGACTTTGCCCGGACCCCAGTCAGTACGAACCTCTGGCGTTCCATCACCCCGGCTCCTCCGACCCTTGAACAGCCTCTCTTGCTCGGAAGCTCAGGTCACCTCCAGTCCAGGTAGATCTTGGACAATTCCAAAATGAGCCTCTTACAGATGGTGCTCGGGCTGCCTCTTTTTTTTTGCCAGCAGCGCCCTACCCTCGTCTGGCCCCATCTAGTCCCTCTTTTAAGTCCATCCCAACCGCCTCTAGCCAGGCACTTGTTTCCCTTTGTCTTTGCTCCCGATTCCGGAGACGCTTCCAGCGCTGTCTGATGTGGGCACCATTCCTTTGTCCACTGTGCCCTTGCTGAATTCCCCCACTCGCGCTGTTTTCCTAGTGGAGACCCACGACTGACTCTTGACCCCAATTTCCTCTCTGTCAGGTTGACCCGGGAGGGTGACCCTCTTCCATTCCCAGCACTATGCCGGGTACTATGGAAACTCTGCGGTTCCAGCTGCTGCCCCCGGAGCCAGATGATGCCTTCTGGGGTGCACCCTGTGAACAGCCTCTGGAGCGCAGGTATCAGGCCCTGCCGGCCCTCGTCTGCATCATGTGCTGTTTGTTTGGAGTCGTCTACTGCTTCTTTGGTGAGATCCCCCTCATTCCTCACCTGTTCCCCTCCACTGTTTCCCTGAGGTTCCTTTACTGGTGTCTCTCAAAACATTTTCAGCCCATCCCGCCCCCGTGGCTCTATCTTTCTCTTATTGATCCCAGATATATTTGTAGATCATTGACTCTAGAGTCCACAGAGCACAGGTTTTAAATTAGATTCTGAGTTTGAACCTGGCTCTCTATGTTAGTCCCTGTGATGTAATGGGTGCACTAAGCTGAGTCTCAGCTTTCGCACCTGGACAAAGGCAACAATGTTTGTCTCATATAGGCACAAATTAGTAGGTACTCAAAGAATAGTAGCTATTGTAGTGAAGATGTGTTTGGATCAGCAGGCTAAGCAGACACTGAAAACACTTAGCATGAAGATTAAACATGGTCCCTTACAACAGGGCATATTGTATGGTGGGGGCGAGACCTGGAATATTCACACTTGTGATACATATTAGTGTGGGCTGTATGGTAGTCACACACATGGAGATCGCCTACAAGGCAGATTCCCATAAGGATGGGTATTGTGAAGAGTTGTATGGGGGAGGGCGTGGTATGTCTGTAATCCCAGCATTCAGGAAGCTGAAGCAGGGAAATGGAAGCACAAGTCCAGTATGGATTACATGGTACAGTGGTGTGTGTGTGTGTGTGTGTGTGTGTGTGTGTGCAGTAACTGCAGGAGTTCAGGTGAACAGGTGAGTGCGGGTCCAGTTGGCAGCTCTCAGGGTCTTGGCTACCTTCCTTAGAGATAAGTATACCTTTTTCTCATTTCCACAAAGATATCACATGGGTCAGTGGCAGCTTAGAGTAAATGCCCAGTGGGTTCTTCAGAAAGTTATAGAACTTCACAGTGGAGACTGTTTTCTGTGAGCAGGGACCCAAAGACAGTCTCCAAGAAGATTGTAAGTATTAAAACTAGTTTGGGCAAAATGGCTGGCAGTTTGCCCGAGTGTGGCAGACTCTATACCTTCTGTTAGAATAGTTGGAAATTTGGGGTGTGGGTCAGATGGTCTTACTTTTACATTGTTGCAGAGTGGGCAGGAGAAATGCTCCCCTACAAAAGTTTAAGATATGTAATGGGTCTTCAAAGATCTCCATCCCCTCTGTACTGTGTGTACCTACTCCCTCTGCATGGTGCTCTGGATAGCTTAATTCCTTATCCTTAGCTCCCACATCGTCCTACCTATTTTGGATGCTCCTACCATGGGATTCAGAGACTTTTTCTAAACTCTGTTCCTCTCTGACTCCAGAACCTTCTGGGATCTGATACCCTCATGCTTGGGACCAAATCTCCCTTTTGTCTTTATTATCTTTCTCTTTGGCTTTCCCTGCCTCTCCTTGACTCCCAATTCTGACTTCTGCATTCTCAACTGTTCAAGACGCTCTCTCTTTCATACACTGCTAACGGTGGAAAGTCCCTATAACACACTCTTCTGAAACTTCACAATCACAACTTCTCCGCATGGTCCTCTGGGATTTCCAACAGTCCTATATGGATCCTAGCACCCTCCCAATGGTTCTCTTTAATCCCTGTCACTCTGACCAGAAGACTGTTCCTCATTACTGTGGTCTCTAGTGATCCCATTTCTCTGGCCTCAGTGTTCCCTTTTGTCTATAATAATACTAATGATTCTCCATCCACCTGCAAAGACCACATCGCCCCATGACCCAGCTCTGCTACCTCTGCAACCTTCCAGAAGTGCTTTAGCTCTGAAGCCCTGTGACTGTACAAGGCTCTCACCTTGTACGTGATGTAAACTTATGTGACCTCATCCCTATACATATTTTTTCCTGACTTCCATATTCTTCCTCTCTAACTAGTCTCTCCTCAGAGGCCCTAAGGACACATTACTGATGCCCTTGAGACCCAATGAGTGATCTCTCTGAGCCATATCATTCTAAAGACCCTTATTGCCCCATTACTGATATACTCAATCCCAATGATCCTTAATTCTAACCCTCAGAGGCTTCAAAGCATTATTTCAATAATCAATGTCTTCCCAGTGATTCCCAGCAAACATCTACATGGTCCCCCGACCTTTAGCTCCACCACTGAGCCCTTGTGACCTCTAATTCTCTTATTATAGCACCCCTGTCTCTGATTCCCTTGTGCCTCTATGTTCCTAACCCTCTGACTTCCAGCCTGGAAACGCCTTCTTGGTCCCTCACTGACCCTGTTCTCCTCCAGGTTACCGCTGCTTCAAGGCAGTCCTCTTCCTCACTGGGTTGCTGTTTGGCTCAGTGGTCATCTTCCTGCTGTGCTACCGAGAGCGGGTTCTGGAGACGCAGCTGAGTGCTGGGGCAAGCGCAGGCATCGCGCTGGGCATAGGGCTGCTCTGCGGGCTGGTAGCCATGCTGGTGCGCAGCGTGGGCCTCTTCCTGGTGGGGCTGCTGCTCGGTCTGCTGCTCGCTGCTGCCGCCCTTCTGGGCTCTGCTCCCTATTACCAGCCTGGCTCCGTATGGGGCCCCCTGGGGCTGCTTCTGGGAGGTGGCCTGCTCTGTGCCCTGCTCACGCTGCGCTGGCCCAGACCGCTCACCACCCTTGCCACTGCTGTGACTGGTGCTGCCCTCATCGCCACTGCTGCAGACTATTTTGCTGAACTGCTACTGCTAGGGCGCTACGTGGTGGAGCGACTGCGGGCTGCGCCTGTGCCTCCCCTCTGCTGGCGGAGCTGGGCCCTGCTGGCACTCTGGCCCCTACTTAGCCTGATGGGCGTTCTGGTGCAGTGGAGGGTGACAACCGAGAGGGACTCCCACACAGAAGGTGAGAGGACACAGGTTAGGGTGGGCATGGGAAGAAGGGATGGACAAAGATGGGTGGGGTGATTGGGGGATTAGTGAGATAGGACAGAAGCTATATACACCAAAATTGGAAAGCCTCAGTTAGAAAATTGACTTGACCAGGGTCTAGGAGAATAGGGCTTAATAACAATATTCATTAGAAGAGAATGTGTGGGACATCAGCTCTAGGTCAAGCCCATTCCAGGCATTGGGGTGATATAGCAGAGATGAATCAAAAGGATAGAGGATGTAGCTCAGTGGTAGCACGCTTGCCCAACACACGCAGGGCTCTGAGCTTGATTCCCAGAACCACAAATGAACAAATGCTACCAGAGATGGGTTCATGCTCTCATGAGTGTACATCCAGGGCAGCTGAGAAACAGATACTAAACTTGCAAACAGACATATAAGTTAATTCTAGTTGTCCAGAGCGATATGGAGTGATACAAAGTAATACGAAACTTTCACTTTCTGGATTCCACTGTAGTTAAAGTGGCCAAGGAAGGCTGCTTGGAGCAGGTGTAATTCATGAGATAGGCCAATGGTGTCCACCCTCTGCGCCGAATTTTGTTAGGACAGTGAGATGCCCATGGAGGGCTTAGGGTAGCGGAGGAAATAGTAGGTTAATGTTGGGGAATACAGAACACGTTAGAGAAATGGTTCTCAATCTTCCTAATGCTGCAACCTTAATATAGTCCCTTACGTCGTGGTGACCCCCAAACATAAACTTATTTTTGTTGCTACTTCGTAACTGTAATTTTGCTACTGTTATGAATCGTAATGTAAATATCTGTTTTCCAGTGGTCTTAGGCAACTCCCATGAAAGGGTCGTTTCACTAAGTGGATTGAGATCCACTGGTTGAGAGCCACTGCATTAGAGGGAGGCAAGCGGAGAAAGGAATAGTGAAGAAGCAGCTATCCAGTTGAAAGATGGGAAGTGCCATCTTGGAGGTGGGAAATCAGGAAAGGAAGTAACAGGGTGAAAGTGTGGGTCATAGGCAAGGGACAGTGGAAGCCTAAAGCCCTCTGAGGGGAAGAAGGGAAGAGCTATATGAATGTGAGTCTTCTGTGCCCATCCCTCTACAGTGGTCATCAGCCGGCAACGAAGGCGAGTGCAGCTCATGCGGATCCGGCAACAGGAAGAACGCAAGGAGAAGCGGAGGAAGAAGAGACCCCCTCGGGCTCCTCCCCGAGGTCCTCGGGCTCCTCCACGGCCTGGTCCCCCAGACCCTGCCTATAGACGCAGGCCAGTGCCCATCAAACGCTTCAATGGAGATGTCCTCTCCCCGGTGAGGTCCCAGAGCCCCTCCAGCTCCAGGGTGGGAGGTGTATGTAGACTGACCGTGTAGGACTGAATCTTCTTGGGGGACACTGGCCTTAAGGCCTATGTTTGTCCATTCGTCAGAACCTCTATACCTGGGCCCTGATGGATCCAACTTGGCAGGTGTCCCAAGTACTGACACTAAGTGGCTATGGTATATGGTGCCTTTTAGGGTTGTGGACTTAGTGTGGAGATGCTTTGGGTTTGTGCAGGCCAGGGGAGTGTCAGGCCTGGGTGGGGCAGAAAGAGGTGGTTCTGCAGCAGGACTCACACCTGTGCTTATTTCCCCACAGAGTTACATCCAGAGCTTCCGGGACCGGCAGACTGGGAGCTCTCTGAGCTCCTTCATGGCCTCACCCACGGACACAGACTATGAGTATGGGTCCCGGGGGCCACTGACAACCTGCTCGGGACCCCCTGTGCGGGTGTAGTCATGTTCCCTGTCTAGACTCTGCAGTCACCAGCTCTACCAGCTTAGAGAGTCCTGCCAGGCCACTACTGAGGCTGCATGGCCCTGTGGTCTTTGACTGTCTCTCTCCCCTCCTTGGAGAGGGTTGGCCAGCCACCAGAAGGGAGGCTGTGTCTCAGGCTAGGTGGGCCTGGCCTGAGGGAGAAGCTCCGGTCCAAGCTCCCGAGGGACTCGGGATGTGAGCCCCACTGGGATGTGCTCAGGGTTCTGTGTTGCCCATATATGTGTGTGAAGGGGGTAGGCTTTGAGGGGACACTGGGACCCTTGCCTTAGATTCCTATTGGCAGGGCTTCTTCAGGGCCAGCCCTGCCTCCTGTCCCACTGCTGGGGTCCCATGGGCCACTCTCCTGCATGTCTGTGAGGAAGAGGCCTGCCTGCCTCCCCTATTGCTCTACTTCCAGCCACTCATCTAAGGGTTCTTGTCATTGTCCATGGAGCTAATGGCAGCACCCCTCACCTTGGTCCCCTGGCCTCCGCAAAGCAACCAGCCTGAAGAGCCTTGGCAGGGGATGGGGGCGGGGAGTGTTGTTCTTGGTTGGGTTTGGGAGGAGGGTGGAGGGAGAAGGGCTTAAATGCACGGTGCATGTCTGGTGTCTTTTGTGCCACCCTAGACACCTCATGCTTCTGTCCCTTCCCACCCTGTTTAACAACTTTTATAAATGTGCCAAACTATGTGGCCTCTGCCAGAAGTCTTCAGTAACTGGTACTTCCATCAATCAAGTTGGAAGCCCTGCAACCTCGGAGCTATGCCACTGACTATAGGGGCTCCAAGCATGGCCTGCCCTCCCATGGCACACAGACAGGCGTGGGCATGAACGGTAGTGTTTGTTTGTTTGTTTGTTTGTTTTTATTGTTTCGCTATCTCTGACTCCTCCCCATCCACCATGCCCAGTGTAAGGGTACACGCCTCCTTCCGTACTGTCAATGCTGGGTCGGGTTCAGTCCGCTAGTCACCTGTAGAGGAACGACTGCATGAGGGACTGGGGTGGGGAGAGTGGGCGTAACCAGTTTCCTCCCCCTGGCAGAGCTTGGCTACCCACAAGGGGAAGAGCTGGGTCCCACCCTTTCAGAACCTCTGTCGAGGGTGTCTGTGGGGCCAAGAAGGTGGGAGCCGGTAGGGCGGAACACACAGTAAAATGTGTGAAAGATACGCAAAGATCTGGGGTAGGATGGGCACCTCCTATGTGAAAGAGGTAAAGAATGGAAGGAGCTGTCTCCCAGTTAGGAGAGCAGAAGCCAGCTGGACAGAGGGCAGGAGCGGGTGAAGGACAGGTACCAGCAGATACTGGTGGGTAGTGAGAAAGACAGCAACTGATAGCAATGGGGTGTTTGGGGGTGACAAGCATGCTCCAGGAACAGAGGGAAGAAGCCCTAGCAAGAAGGGTCCTAGGAAGGTCGGGGAAAGGTCCCTTGAGACTCGGGGCTCCCTCTCCTCTTCAGCCTTGGGCGTGATCTCTCCCGCCCCTCCCCCACTCCCCACATGCATCAGCACCTCCGGCCAAGAGTCCTCCCCTGAGTCCTGGAAAACCTCCCATAGGTGTATCAACACTGCCGCTTCCAGGTGGCACTCCCTGTCCGGTCAGCCTCCTGTTCCCGGGATTCTGCCCAGGGGGCTTTACTCACCCTCTACCAGCAGCTGTGTGTCAGCACTGTCCTGGCCCGCCTGGCAGCTGTAGATGCCCTGGTCCTCAGGTCGGACGTCACGGATGACCAGGCTGTGGGTGGGGCCGTGGCTGCGCATCTCATACTTGTTTCCGGGACACAATTCGACCCCCTCCCGCAACCAACACACGTAGCCTCCAGGGCGGGACACAGTCACCTCCAAGACCGCCCTGCGGCCAGCCAGAACCGTCTTCTCGCGAGGTGGGCGGCGGCACATCTGGAGAGGCAACGCTGCGGTTGGGGGGTGGGGGGAGACAGGGGCTTAATAAGGACACGCACGACCCCTAGAGGAGAGGTGCATCTTCCCTGCCTACGACCACCGCTTCTGGTTCAAGCCCTCCATGCCACATGTCAGTTTCCCTGCACGACCGGCTCAAAGTCTCTTCCTCTCCGTCTCCTCCCGAGGAAATGGGCTGCCCTCTGTGATCTACCCCAAGAGATCTCCTCGAAGAGGAGAGATGAAGGAAGCGACATTTCTAGGACCTGCGGTCAGTCAGTCAGTCCCAGGACGGGAGGTGATGCCCTTCCCGGTCCCCTTTGCCTCAGAAGCTTACCCTCCACCTCCAGCCGAGCCAAGGACTGGGCGGGTCCCGCCTGGAAGCAGACTTCACCGGTGTCCTCGGCTCGCAGCTCGCTCAGTACCAGAATGTGTTTCTTCCCTGGGGGGGAGGGGAAGGTAGCGAGGCCTCAGCCACTTCCCGGGAGGATTCGAGAACGAAGGTGGTACCCGAGCAGGTACCGGGGGGGGGGGGGGGGTTCCGAAGTGTCGATGCGTGGAATTGGAGAGAGGAAGCAAAAGGAGCTAGGCAGGACTAGGAGCTGGCGGCGGAGGAAAGTCCAGGAGACCCTGGTAGTGGGGGCGATGGGCGGGGCCTGCCCGAGCTAGAGGCGGAGCTAATCCTAATGGGGCGGAGTGTGCCTGAACCCCGGGTAAGGTAACAACCGGTCACAGAGGGTAGAAAAACGGCCAAACCTTCCTGTCGGATGCGGACGCGGTCTCCGGGTCTCAGGACACGGCCTCCGAGCTCCCAGCGCCCGGGGGTCTCGGCCTCAGACACTGTGCACTCGAACGTGGCGCCGTCTCCTTCGCGGGCGCTAACGGACCGGAGCTCACGGAGCACACACACCTCGCGCTCTGGGGGCGGAGCCGGGGGCGTGAGGCAGGGGCGGGGCGTAACCAGAACACACACCCGCCACGCCCCCTCCCTAAAAGTGTGTAAACTGTAGGGGAACACCCTTCTGCAGGCCAGGTGCCCAGAGTGGTACCCAGCCCCGGAATCCCTGGGTACCCACCGCGCACTGTCAGGCGCGCGGGCCCGGCGCGGGCTGTCCCCACAACGCAGCTGTAGGTGCCGGTGTCCGAGGAATTGCAGCGCCGCAGCAGCAGAAGGCGGCGTGTGCCGAGAGCCTGGAGCCGGAGCCTCGGGCTTAGAGAGAGTGCCTGCCCGTCCTAAGGACAGGATTTGTAGCCGATCAGACCAAGCCCAGCAAGACTCGGGGGCCGCGGCTCCGGAGGGTGGCGGTGTCCTCTATGCATGCCAAGCTGTCTAGAGGCTCACCAGTGGGGCTCACTGTGTTCCCCTGCTAGGGTTGGACCATCCCACATCTTCCCTTTCTGGTCACTTTTCTGAGAAGGTGCCATCCCTTGGGGACTTTAGAGCCAAGAATAGACACCAACGGCACAGAAAGCCCAGAGCTCTGCATGGACCCACTGAGTGTGGATTCTAAAATCGGTTTCCAACAAAGGCTCTACCCCCTTTTTTCTAACATTGAGCAACCAACTCCGTTCATCCCGCAGAACATATCCCTTAGATAACCCACCTGGTGACAACGAAGCGTCCCTTCACAGGGTGTTGTAAGGATTAAAAAGGATTAACTGTGCCATCGGTTTTAGCCCAGTGCCAGGTTCACTGGTCCAGTGAGTGTTAGTTTCTTGCCCGCACTATTGTTAGGTGGATAGGTCTGCACTCGGGCCAGGCTCTGACCTTCTCCCACACAGCGTCAGCCAAAGTCTGGGAAAGCTCGCACTCGAATGTGGCCGTGTCACCTTCAGTCACTTCTAGGTCCTGTGGCCCCCGCACAAAAGTCACTGGGACCTCTGAGAGTGGGTAAGGGAGAACAAGGCCAAGGGACAGGGGTGAGTGAGGAGTGAGGGCCCAGTAACACACACACACACACACACACACACACACACACACACACACACACAGTCAGTGGCAGACACATGCAGGTGGTCAGTAGAGGTCACTAGTGAGTGGAGGACACTAGAGGACAAGTTCAAAGGAGATGCCAGAAAATGGGAGACACGGCAGGGCCAGAGAGTCAGCGGGGTAGGAGTGACTAGCTGGAAGTCACATGATATGGTCAGCAGGGAACATGCTGGGGCTGGAGGCAACTGGTCAAAGCTGAAGAGATGCCAAAGGGACAAGTCATAGATGCATGGACAGCAGTGACCACACAGCTGGAATGGGTAGCAGAAGACACTGGACTTGGGGTAGGAACGCATAAAAACTTCCACACAGCCTGAGGTCCATTAATGCCACAGGAGTGATCGATGGGGAAATCATTAGGGCTGAAAAAATGGAAGCCCTCAAGCAGAATCAGTTCTAGAGCACTCTTCAGTGGCTCCTCAGTGGAAGAATTACACGGGGCACATTTTAGGCAGCAAAGGGGATCACTGAGTTGGATTAAGAGTAGTCAGATAGATAGGCTAGAGGGATCACACAGACACGGGATTGCTCAGTGTAGCATCGGTTGGCAGGGCTACAGGCAACCGAGCGGTCATACGTAAGGTGTTCATCAGAAGGGCCCAAACAGATCCAAAGGGTCCAGGGGTTCCCCACTTTGGCAGGGTGGTCAGTAGGAGCCACATGGTTGGTTAGATCAGTGGTCGCACACAGTAAATTAGCAAGCAGGGGTCCAGAGGCCACACCTCTCACTGAGAGCCGAGCAGCGCATCGAAGGGTATCCGCAGTGAAGGAGACACAGCCCGAGTCAGCCAGACCTAGATCGCTGAGCACCAAGCGGTGAGTACGGCCTTCTGAATAAATGTGGCACTTGGGCCCTGGGTGCAGCCGGACTCCACCCTGGGCCCACTCTCCAGTCACACCCTCCTGGGACAGCTCCAGCTGGAAGGTGGCGCTGCCCCCCTCAATGACAGTCACATCCTCCAGAGGCCGAAGTTCCCTCAGCTGCCGCGCTGGTGTGGGAAGATGAGGAGAGAGGGAGGGTGATAGCTCTAGGGTTCAGGGGTTCACTCAGCCCTCAGCACTCTCCACACCACCCCAGCACTCAATGGAAGGCCCTAGCTATAGAAGTCAGACTTGGTAGATGGAAGGAAAGGACAGAGACAATTTGGTCAGGGGAGAGGTGTATGGAGGTTAGGAAAAGGAAAACACACAAAAGGAATGTAAAGACTTTGGGGGGGGGGCTGGAGAGATGGCTCAGTGGTTAAGAGCATTGCCTGCTCTTCCAAAGGTCCTGAGTTCAAATCCCAGCAACCACATGGTGGTTCACAACCATCTGTAATGGTTGCAGACGTACACACAGACAGAATATTGTATACATAATAAATAAATAAATAGTTTAAAAAAAGACTTTGGGGGGAGGGGTGAGAAGAGTGGGAAGCCACATGGTGTAGGGTTCTGTGACATAGGAAGAGGGACTCTGAAGCCAGACCCATTGGGATTGGAGCCTAGCTTTAACATATACTTTGTGTATAGACTGTGTGATCTTTGGCAACTGCTCTGGCTTTTGCTGGCCACAGTTTTCCCTGTTGTACTAGATAAAGATCAGAGACCCTCTGGATTACACTGTGATGAACACGTATCACCGATGACAGCCCATCGCCAAGACCTGACACTTCTGCTAATTTCCTCCAAGTCTCTAGAGTAGAGAGCTCAGCCCCATTTTTAGGGAGACTTGTTTGAGAGAGCTTAGGTGGGGTCGGTCATGCAGCTAAGTAGTGGGGGGCTCCAGCATAGGGTGGCGGGTGAAAAGTGCTATTAGCTAGCCATTCTTCCGAAGAATAAATACAGAAGAGTCTTTCTGGAGTATAGCGTTTATATTGCTAGCAAAGCCATCTTGGAAGTCGGAGGTGAAAAGCAAAGTCCATTTGGACTTCTGAGGTAACCAGAAAATATTAGGAAAAAAAAAAAGAGAGAGAGAGAAATGCTTTGCTTCAAGCAGGGAGGCTTCAGGCTCTAACCCCTGAATGGGACGGCCAGGGCAGACTGTCCTTAGCAGAAAGGGGCACTTTGGTGGGGGGGTCTCGGGGACTCTGGACCAGCCAGGTGGGTGATGAATTAGGAGAAGACAGGGCACTCACGCCTCACACTGAGCCTGGCCAGGGTGCGATCATGGTGACTCTCGCAGCCGTAGGTACCCTGGTCGGTAAGTAGGACACCATGGATGGAGAGGCGGTGGACACGGCCATCCTGGGTGGTGGTCAGGTGAGAGTCGAGGGGAAGAGGCTCCCCACCTCGTAACCAGCGAATGGCTCCAGCGGCACCCACTCGGCCGGTCTCTACCTCAAGGCACACATCCTGACCTTCTTCAGCCCGCACATCCTGTAGCCGCCGCAAGAACAGCAGCTCTGTCTCTGGAAGGGAAGGAAAGAGGAGGTCACGGAGCCCTGAAGGCTGGCGCTGGCTATCTCACTACTAGGCCAGGGTTGGGAGGGGGTTACAGGGAACGGAGTGTTATACACTCAGTGGCACTAAACCTCGAACATGGAGCCTGGCGCTTGTGTCCGTGGCTCCCACTCGTGCAGTCACGGTCCCTGTGTCTTTGAGTTGGCAGCCTCGGATGATCAAAGTGTGGCTTGAACCATTCTGGACCATCTGCAGCTGGGGCCCTGGAGTGACCACGGCTCCATTGCGTAGCCAGGTGACTTGGGCATCTGGTGTTGAAACTTCACACTGGAATGTGGCATCGTCACCCTCGTGGACCGTCAGAGGGGTCAGTTCGGAGACTAGTCTCACTGGTGGGGGTTCTGGAAGGAGGGGTGAGGCAGTGAACTGGATACCTCTTTCTCCTCTCTATTCCTTAGGACTCAACCCTCCTTCTCCCACCAATTACTACAGCTTGAGTGAGATTCTGCTGTGTGTTGTTCATGGGGATTCTCCCAAAGACCAGGATAACAATTCCTTAGTAAGCTCCCTGCAGTCCCAGCCTGGCACCTCTTCCCAAGTCTCTAGTACCAATACGTCATTTACTATGGCCCTATTACAACACTTAACAGTCACAGAAACCTATTTGCTATTCCAGTTCAGAGTTTGGGCTCAGAGAAGTAAAACCACTTGGCTAATGTCACACAACTCCCAGAGAGCAGACTCTGGGTTGGACCCTGGGCAAGTTGACTCTAGAGGCCCTGTTCTTCTCTACTGGGCCATACAGCATGCTAGGGTCCTGGAAAAAGGAGTTGGCTCTCTCAGGGTGATGTCATGCACACATTGGTGGGAACCACAGACAGTAGGTTGGGTGAGATGTAGAGGGGAAGAGCCCAGGACAGGAGGTGGTCTTTGTGGGTGCCAGAAACCAGTGGGCGCGAGGGGTGCACTGTTACCTTCCACGCTGACGATGAAGACGCGACTGTCCTGGGGTACGTCACACAGGTATTCCCCAGCGTCCCCTCTCCGTGCCCCCCGCACCCGTAGCACCTGCCTGGCCCCGGCTTGTTCCAGCTGCACCCGCCCCTGGTTCACCAGGCGCTCCCCGTCCTTGTACCAGCGCACAGGGCCCCCTGGCCTGGAGAAGTGCACCACCAGCTCTAGGTCCCCGCCTGGGGTGCTTCGAACCCTCGTCTGGGCTGCCTCGGGGGCCACTACCCGCACCGGGGGCTCTGTGGGGTCAGAGCTAGGGGTCACTGGGAAGGCAACGAGGAGGGTAGGGAGGCAAACTGGGGGAATTGGGCAAGGGGATAAATGTGGTAATAAATTTTTTCAGGAAAGTGGGGGAGTCCCGGGTACGGGGTGCTACTAAGGCTTTCTTCCACGCTGTACTCACCAGCCACCTGGACATTGAAGCTGAGACTTGGGGCTCCTGGGTCTGCCCCAGACTGGCAGGTGTAGACACCTGTGTGACCTAGGTCCGCAGCCTGGATGCAGAGGATTCGGCGAGGACCCTCAGCTCTCAGCTCCAGCCCTTCGCCCTGCTGCACAGGGATCCCATTATGGCTCCAGAACACTTGGGCGCTTGCTCGGGACAGTTCACAGCTCAGCACCACTGGCTCCCCGGGAGCCACACAGAGCAGGCTCGGGGCTGCCTCCGGGGCCAGGAACTGCACTGGCAGTTCTGCAGAAAGGAAGGAGAAGGTAAGCCTAAGCCAGCCCCTGCCTCCTCCCCACCCCATGCTGGCTCAGGCACACCCACCAGCCAGGCTGACGTTGAAGGTGACAGCCTCATCTCGGGTCTCACACACATACTCCCCGGCATCCTCGGGCTGGGCGTGCGGCAGGGTGAGAGTGCGGGCAGGCCCCTCGGCACCCAGCTGCAGAGCCTCCGACACCTCTACCTCTAGCCCGTCCTTGTACCAGCGCACCTGGGACCCGGCTGGGGCCACTTCGCAGCGTAGCTCCACATGTCCTGGAGCCCCGAACTGCAAATCCAGGGATCGGGCTGCCGGGTGCACAATCCTTTCCGGTGGAGCTAGTGGGTGGGCAGAGAAAGCGGCACATGATTCTGACTCAAGGCCGCTGCCTGCCTCTCCGAAACACTTTATAGCTAAGGACCTTCTACGAGGAAAAGGACTTGCCCAGGGTCTCAGAGGCAGGTCAGACTCATACCCATATCTATTGAGTCACTTCTCCCGAGCTCCATCCCAATTCCCTCCCCTGCTATGCTCTGCCTCTGACACACTTGCCTTTTGTTACTCAATAAACCATTTATTTTGCTTTCTCCCCCATCTATCCCTCCCCAGTGTGAGTTCCTGTAGCACACTGGCTCACTTTGTACCCAGCATCTAGGATGGTGTCAAGCATATAGTAGTTGTTTGATAAGCATTTGCTAAATAATGGAATGATCCCAATCGCTGGGCTCCCTCTTGCCGGGCCTGTGGTCACTGTCCCAGCTTGATCTCTCTAAGGGTTAAGACTGAAGAGACAAGAGATGTGGGGAAAAGAAAACAGGGGTCCCCTAAGATGAGGGAAGAAGGGTGGTTGATGCCTGTCCCCATAGCACCCTATCTCTCCCTCTCTGGAAATGCCCACATAAGCTACCCACCTGTGACGGTGACAGTGAAGAAGGCTGAGTCATCTCCAGCGTCGCACACAAACTCGCCCCCGTCCTCCGGCTGGGCAGCCGGCAGCACCAGACGGCGACGAGGCCCGTCACTCTCGAGCACCAGGGCCTCATTCTCCTCCACCTCAAGCCCATCCTTATACCAGCGCACGGGAGCATCCTCTCGAGACAGCTCACACGTCAGCACCACACATTCCAAACTCACAGCAACCAAGGTCACCTCATCCTGAGGGTATATGATCCGCACAGGAGGCTCTGTGGAGCAGGGCAAACAAAGGTGTCACCGGCTGGCACGATCTGGGCCGTGTTGCCCGTGTGGCAGTAATAGTCCAGAGTATTGAGTAGCATAATAATAGTAACAGTAGGTTCCCGATCTGTCCTCTGAAATCCCTAGGGTCAGCCCTTTGCAGAAATCAGAGTATTTTGGAGTCTAAAAAGGATACATTTCTCATTTATAAAACACCTTCAGGCCCTGCCTCCACCCTTATAACTATTCCCTCTAACATTTTTGCTGTGCAATGTATTTACCCTCAGCAAGACATATTAAAATAGTCATATCTCAGAAAGATATATTCTAGTCCTACCAGATAAACCAGATAATTAAGGAGTAATTAAGTATGTAGCAATTAAACTTAGTTTTAGTGAAATAAATTTGACTACCAAACTTTTCTTTTCTTTCTTTCTTCTCATTTTTTTTTTCTTTGAGAGATGGTCTTACTACATAGCCCTGGCTGGTCTGAAACTCACTGTGTTGGCCAGAAAAGCCTGGAGCACACAGAGCTCTACCTGCCTCTGCCTCCCCGAGTGCTGGGATTAAAGATGTACACCACCACAGCAGACTACTGTTGACCTCTTAACAGGCCTTTTGAGGGTTTGGGGGCTTTCAAAATTGTGCATAAGGGACGGTCAGGATCTGTAAGAACACATACTTCCTAAATGGTCTAGTGTTGGCGCGAAGCGCTTTGCATGGTTAGCCTCACATGATGTCTGGAGAAAAGTACTACGCTGTCTCCATTTTCCATGTGGAAGAACTAAGGCACGGAACGATTAAGCAATGACTCCAGCTCCTGGGGGCAGGAGGAAGCACTTTCTGTTCCAGGCAGGCTCTCCTGCTGCCGGCAGTGGGAGGGAATCCAAGCCCAGGCTAGTAGCCGCTAGGGAAATCCTTTTGTACCTGTACACCAGAGTTGCTAAAACTCGTCTAAAAGCTCCCCAAGGGTGCGACACGCTGCTTCAGGGATCTCATCCCCAGCACAGGCCACTTCTCCACAGAAAAGAAACCAAGTCAATATTATTTGATGGTCAGCAAGCCCAAGCCTGCCCCAGTACCATGCCCTTTTGCTCCCCTGGGAATCAAGTTTCAAAGACTAGAGTGCACCTGGCCCCCTAGTGGCCGGACTGGAGAACTGCTAGCTTTCCTGACGAGGAATTTTTCAGAAGTTCACAGAGGGACCCAACCACAGCACTTGGCAGCCCTGAGCTCCTGGAGCACACCTCCACACATGGGATCCTTTGCACAAAGTGTCTGATCCAATCATGGCAAGGCCAGAAGATTACAGGAGGCAGCTTCCTGGGCTGTGGAACAGGTTGAGGCAGTGAGCTGGAGGAAAGCTACAACAGCAGAACTCACTGGGTGTGGGACTAGACCTACTCTGGCCTGGAGGTGACGTGGTATCTGTGTGAAGTTCCTGTGGGGCACCTGGTACTTTGTGGCTGTGGCTGTTATGTCTGGCCAGGGCTGGGAGCGAGAGAGTGAAGGTGGCTGGCTCTAAAACAGAATGTATGCACAGCCTTGTTGCCACTGGGGACTCCTCTAACTGGGGTCCCTAAGCGCCTCGGCCTCAGCATGACTCCTTGGGCAGGTCAGGGAAAAAGGTAACAGGGCCATGAACAACAGGGTGGCTGTCCAGTGCGGCCATTGGGGCTCTTTTGTGATGCCCAGAACTGTCTAAAACTCCCACTACCATCCCAAAGTCTCTGGCATACACCACCATCACTTCTAGCCATCCTGTGCGTTCTCCTACCTACAATATTCTCTGCCTACCCATAACTCAACTTGACTGCAGTAAAGTAAGTAAATACCTTCATTACCCTGACCAGGATAGCAGTCGCCAGCCTAATGGATTCCTGTGCAGTTCCTGACAGCCTACCCTGACACGTGTCTGACTTCTTGCTAGGCTGTGCCCATTGGGGAAAAAAAATACACTTCTGTTCATATGCTGCGGAGTATATGAAGTCCAGCCTTTATTACAGTCACCCTGGGTGACTTTCTCCCAGGTCCTCCCTGCCTGTCTGCTCTGTTAGCAGGCTTATCAGTTATCACAGGTGTCTTGGAGTGTTCATTGGTGTGTTTATTGGTTTAACACAGGGTTCGCCAAGTTAAATCAATAGCTCAAAAAGTCTGGGAAGAAGCAGGGTGGGTGGAACAGAGGGATGGGAGCCCCATACTATGGGGGAGCTGCTACTCAGTGCCAGCCGTTCGTCGCCATGGGGGGAAACGGGACCAGAGCCGGCGGGTCTTCGGCTTTTTCAAGAGGATGCATAAATCCGGGTTGTTATTTGGACTGTCCTGACTTTGGTATGATTCTGCAGGCCAAACAAAACATATCTGTGGGCTGCACAGGGACCAAGGGTCTCTCCGTTTGCGACCCCTGGTTAAAGACTGTCTCCCTAGCTATGCTGGCAGCTCTTTGACCAGGAGCCCAGGAACCGACCCAGATGGTGTTAGTCAGTGAGCTGGGGGAGACACTGGCCTTGACACTGGAGAAGGGCCTGTTTTTTACAATTGGGGTTCCAGGTTCTTTCCAGCAGGGACCCCGGTGCATGCATCCTCAACCCACTCTTCCCTCCCTGACACCAGTAAGCTGGCATTTGAGGAAATAGCCACTCAACACCCTTCACACTCAGGGTTGTCCTTTGGTGACTCTGGGGGCTGGGGTGGGCCCACACCTGTGACGCTGACAGTGAAGGAAGCCGACTCGTCATCGATTTCACACAAGTACTCTCCAGAGTCCTCAAGCTGGACAGAGGGCAGCACCAGGCGGCGGATGGTATCTTCCTTCTCCAGGAGCAGGGCTGGGCTCTCCACTACCTCCTCCCCATCTTTGGTCCAGCGCACCTCAGCCCAAGGCCGGCACAGTTCACAGGTCAGCACCACACGCTCTAGGCGTACGGCTGCCACATACACTTTACCACTGGGGTGCACGATCCACGAGGAAACGTCTGAAGGACAGAGACAGCTTTTGCTAAACGAGGCGGGGTGAGACTGGGTGCCCTGCTACCCTTCCTGGTGTACGCCTGTCTGCCATGCTTTGAAAGTCTGCCATGTGTCGAAGCAGAAGTCACTGTGTGGGTAGCCACAGCTAGAGCTGCACAATCCTAAACACAGCCACCACGGGCAGAACGACAGGACCACGGTCTCCAAAGCTCAAGCTTTGTGTGGGAGCCGCATAATGGGGACTGTGGTGTCAACTTTAGCTGTGGGAGCAGTTACATTCTCTAGGGGGAGACAGGACAGTATAAAAAATAAAATGTGGGACAAGAAGACGGGGTCTCAGTTTTCTGACCCCTTCTGCACCTCATATCACCTGCTTTGTAACAGAACTACTGTCCCCAAGGAACCCTCTTAGTGGGGGGGGGGGGTCCTGGAAGATGGTGAAGACAGGGCTCCGCTGGGGATGAGGAGCCAGGACTGGTGTGCTCAGGACTAGACCATGCAGGGAGGCTAGCGGAGGCTTAAAGTGTGACATGCAGGAGCGTGAAGGCTAGCTGCTCTAGCTGGTCCCACCTGTGATGGTGACTGTGAAGTAGGCACGTTCGTCTCCTGCGACGCACTGAAACTCGCCCCCGTCGGAGGGCTGGGCTGCAGGCAGCACCAGGCGGTGATGGGGCCCTTCCCTCTCTAGCACCATGAAGTCACTCTGCTCCACCTCCTGCCCATCCTTGTACCAGTGCACAGGGGCGTCCTCTCGGTCTACCTCACAGGTGAGCATGACGCACTCGGAAGTGATGGCATGTACAAACACATGTTCCCGGGGGTCCACGATGTGCACTGGGGGGTCTGGATGGGGAAGAGAGACGGGTCATAAACACCCCCTTATACAGGAGATGAGGACACTGGGGGTAAGGCAGAGGGGTTACCAAAGCCCCGGCGTGCAGTAGTTTGGGGGCAAAAACCAGACCCTGATGGCAAGGTAGCTTAGCTATGATGGAAGGTGAGATAACAGAGTGATCCAAAGATCCCCAGAGGCAGCTGAGTGGCATCCAATAGTGACAGAAGCCAAAGGCAGATCACAATCACAAGGCATGCAGCTGGGTTGACTGTTTCCTCCACAAGGACAGGACAGGAAGGACAGGTCCGGAGGATGATTTAGCCAGCGCCAAACAACTATTCCACCGGGCAATGCTGTGTTTGTATTTAGGCAGTATCTCCAAGGCCCAGGTGTTAAGGGCTTGCAGGCTGGTCCGGTGCCTTCATGATGTTGCGGCGTGATCGGATGGGAAAACCTTAAGTCACTGGGGCCTGACTTCCAAAGGGCTGGTGGGATCCCTGCCCCTTCCCCTCCTACTTCCTGACCATGAAGATGAGCAATTTTTTTCTGCCACATTCAGCCCTGCCTTTGTCATCGAGCACCCTCATCACGGTCTCAAAACAATGGGTCCTCTTGGTCTTGGGCTGGAAACCCCCAAACAAACCTTTCTTATTATCAATAAGTGTCTCAGGTATTTCATTACAGTGACAGAAAACAGATTAATATAGGTAGTGAGTTCCCTGTCACAGATCATAATCAGATTGGGGTTAGGAGGTCTCCTGGTAATGGAGTTGAAGCAGGATTTCTATGCAAAGGGATCAGTAGTTCTCCAGCCACCTCCTTGAGAGTCAGCTCCCTCCCTCCCTTTGTGTGTGTGTGTTTTGTTTTTCGAGACAGGATTTCTCTGTTTAGCCCTGGCTGTTCTGGAACTAGCTCTGTAGACCAGGCTGGCCTCAAACTCACAGAGATTCACCTGCCTTTGCCTCCTGAGTGCTGGGATTAAAGGTGTGTGCTACCACTGCCTGGCTGAGACTATACCTTTCTGAGTTGTGGAAATTAAAACAGCATCAGTGCAAAATAGCTCTGGCCCCAAAGTAGGTTCTCAATAAACGCCAGCCACTCCCTTCTTCCCTCAGGTGTTTAGCTCCCTCACCCAATTCAGCAGAGGGTGTGCATGCATTGGTGAGCAAGTGTGCTTGATGATGTGGATACATGAGAGATAAGGATGTAAATACAGGACCAGAGATAAATCTAAGCAATACTCACCTTGCATCCACAGGCCCTAGGCCACACCCAAATACCACAAAATGAAGAAATAAAAAGCCCTCCTTACAAAGGGACCGCCACCAAACCAGGAGCAGGGGTTACAAAGCTCCCAGAATCAGCCTCAGCAGGAAAAGGCCAGCATAGTTCCTGACCTTGAACAGTGATGCTGAAGAAGGCTGAGACTCCTTCAGTTCTGCATTCAAATTCACCGCTGTCTTGGACTTGAGCCTCAGGCAGGATCAGCCGGTGTTTGCGTCCGTCCATCTTTACTATGAGTGACTCACTCTCCTCCACTCTCTGCCCATCCTTGTACCAGGTTGCTGGAAAGTTCACTCTTGAGAGCTCACAGGTCAGCACAACCCGTTCAGAGGTTGTGAAGGTCAGTGACACTTTGTCCTGGGGACTCAGGATGTGCACTGGGCTTTCTGCATGGAAAGAAAGCTGATCACTTGCAACGGTCTATTCTGTTTGAATAGGCATCCTTTCCCCAGTATCTGTGCTTGTACAGGGGTGCACACATGGAAAAGACAACTGCTGTCAGTGGCTAAAGCCCAGCTGTCAGTTAGGGTTTTAAAAGCAGGTCTGAGGTCAAAGGGGAAAGAGGACAGAGGCAGGGCATCTGTCAAGCACACACAGAAGGTACAGGTTCAATCTCCTGTACTTGGAAAAAAAAAAGTATTGGGCTTTATATGTTTGGATAGGATCTGAGTTATCACTGAAAGGTTCATGTGATGGAAATGTGGTCCTCCGGGTGGCGGTGTTTGGAACCTTTAAGAGGGGACGCCTAAGGCTGGGTGTGGTGGTGCAGAGCTACACAGTGAGATACCTTAAAACCAACTCCCCTCACCCTCCACAAACCCTAACCAACCACCACCACCATGAATGACAAAAAGCACAAGACAATGAAAGGAGAGGAGGAGGACCAGAAAACAGCAGGCGTGGTGAGCTTGGTGGCAGGAGTCCCCAGGACCACGGTCAGCTCTTGAGTACACTGTCGCTAAGCTGGTTCACCCCAAGTACTTGCTTCCTTCTGTCCTGACAGCCTTTCTACTTCCTTGTCATGTTCTGACTTAGGGAAAGGTCGGAGGCAGGGGTCACTAGAAACTAAACCGATGGAACTGACAAACTTTGGACTTTCAGTTTCCAGAACCATGAGCTAAGAAAAGTACCCGGTATCACCAATTCTGTTATGGCAACAGAAAGCAGGACAAGCCCAGTCAGGCTTTTAGGTCACTGCTGAAGAGTAGTGGCTTTATAATACCTAGGAATTCTGTTTATTTACTTGTTTGTTTGTCAGAATTCTTTTTAATTTTTTCATTGATTTTTCAGAATTTTCTTTATTTACCTGTTTATTTATTTATTTAGTTTTTCGAGACAGGGTTTCTCTGTATAGCTTTGGAGCCTGTCCTGGAACTCGATCTGTAGACCGGGGTGGCCTCAAACTGACAGAGATCTGTCTGCCTCTGCCTCCCATGTTCTGGGATTAAAGGCTTATGCCACTACGGCCCAGCATACCTGTGAAGTCTTAAAAAGCCTGTCTCTCCTGGTGCCTCTGGTGTTAGTGGTCCCGGGTTAGTGTAGAAACGCTGCTCTTGATAATTTCTGCCTTTGCTCTCTATTTCTGATTCTGTGAGTTACCACCGTAAGGTCTCTGGTTTTCTAGCAATAACAAGACAGCTAAATGCTACAGCATTGAATTTTTAGCACCCCCTCCCTCAATCCTGAGTACCTGATGGTACGTTCCCTCCCTTCCTTGTTCCAAAGGAAGCACGGTGTGTGGGGTGAGGTGGGGATGAGGGGATGGGAGTGTGGGGATCCTGGAGACCATTTAACTTCTCTGTGCCTGTCTCCCACAGGCAAAATGCAAATGAGAGAAGAACCTGTTTTATAAGACTATCAAAAGGATCATGCTGTTCCTGGCTCAAGGTAAACACTAGGAGACAGTGCTGGCAATCAGACAAGTGGACAGAAAGCGGGCAGTGATCCTCGTCTCTCTTTGGTGGTATCGAGCTGGACCCAAGGCCTTACACATACTAGGTAGTGTTGTACTACTGGGCTACACCCCAGCCCAACGTGACAGAATTACTGCAAAGAATAGAAATGACACCCTAAGTGAAGCTCTATAAGCGGCGAGTTGAAAGTGGTCTTCTGAACACCGGAACTCTCAATCGGAGCCCATCACGAAGACCCCTCATTCTTCCAGCCCAGCTACGAGAAACAGGCGCAACATATGCTTTGAGCCCATCTGCCCAGGTGTCCACCGGTACCCACCTTGGATAGTGAGCGCTGCAGAGTCTTGCACACCAGGGCAGCTGAAGCCTACCAGGGCTCCACTGTCCTGGTGCCTGACAGCTTGCAGGATGAGTCTGTGCTGCAGGCCCTTCTGCTCCATCCGGTAGCGCAGGGCTCCAGGCTCCACCTGGCCTTCGGTCTCAGTACTCTTGAGCTGTTCCCCATTAAGGAACCAAGTGCCCTGGATGATGGTGGACAGATCAAGGGAGAAGACGGCATCTTCCCCATCATACACCTGCACATCCTCCAGGCCCGACACCAGACGAGCTGTGGGTACTGGGACAGAGACAAGGTATGGCTGTTAGAACCAGAAAGGGCCAGAGAGAACAGAAGCTGGCGGATGGAAGAAGACCATTAAGGACTAGGAGTCAGAGAAGGGAGGAAACGATCTGGGGTATGGATACTGACGGGCCAAGAATCAACTCACCGAGGTGAGCGGAACCATTGAACACGACATGGGGACTGCGGCCATGTTCGCTGACTGTGCAGATACGAAAGCGGTAGTCACCCTCGGCAGGTACACAGTCCCCTGGCACCTCTACGGCTCCGGCTTTCTCAATGCTGAAGCACTGGACCCAATCTTCAGACCCAACCTCCTGCCGCTCAAGGCGGTAGATGAAGGACGTCTCTGGGGGCGGCTCAGGGGGCTTCCAGGTCAGCAGGACTGTGTTCTTTTGGCCTTTGAACATCTCAACCAATACGGGGGGCCCAGGAGGACTGTGCTTGACACCTGAGACAAAGGCGAGATTCTCACTTGAGCCTTGCACAAGCCCCCAACAACATTTCTGCTTTAAATCCACTTTGTCAACCCAGGACCCAGACCGTGGCTACCCTCCTGCCCCATCCTCCTGTTAATGGGGCTCTATGCTCTCACATTTGACTCTGAGCAAAGTGGTGGTACGAGAGTTGCCCAGGCTGAAGGTGACCTCGCCAGCATCTTCTCGGGTCACCCCTGGAAGGACCAGGGCATGCATGTGACCACAACTGCTCTGGCAGGTGGCTGGCAGCTCCTCCCCGTCGTGGCTCCAGCACCCCTGGACCCCAGCTTCTCGGGTCTCCACCAGCAGCACGGCATTCTCTCCCTCCAGGACATCAAGTTTCCGGGGTAAGCGCTTCAAGATGGGTCCTGGGATGCGGACGGGAACCCATCAGGCCGGGATCAACCCATCAGGCCGGGATCTAGACACCACGGGCCTCAGCCTCCTCCCACTGGCCAGCTGACCTTTGACCGTCACATTGGCCACAGTGCGCACTCGACCCCGCATCTCGCACAGGTAGACGCCATCATCGTCTGCCTTCAGCCTGTGGATGATGAGGCGCCTCACGGTGCCCTCCTCGATCTGCTCGTACTTGCGGCAGGGCAACAGTCGTTGGTCCTCTCGGAACCAGGCCGTGGGGATTCGGGAGTTGGGAACTTTACACTCCAGTACCACAATCCCATGCTCTCGGCCCTCCACATCCTGGAGGGGCCTTGTGAACCGGAGGCGGGGCTCTGTTGAATAGAGGAGTGCAAGAGAAGGCTCAGAAGAAGCTAGCTGAACAGGACTGGTACCATACATTACTTGGTCTTCCCAGAAGGAGGATGGCAGCCAAATTCCCAGCAGAGTTAGATGGCCTGATTTCCTGATGTTCCGCAGTTATGACACCTTGAGCACAGCAGCTTGCTTGTGTGTTAAATGGGAGAGGGAGGGCATAGCTGAGCAAGATCCGTGACTTTCAAACTCTTCCCTAACTCTCCAACTTTCCCCTAATTTTGCAAGGGTCTGCATTGAATTTTTACCTTAATAGCATTTTAAACTTTGCAAAACCCTATTTCAGAAATAGGAAACCACCAGAGAGCTAAGTTGTGCTGGGGAAACAAGTTTCTGTGCCACTTGGAGACGTTCCCTTACTTTCTTGAGGACATTCCACTTCTGCACCGGCCTGCAAAGTTTGGGCACATTGAGTTGTGCCCGTGAGGACACTGCCACAGCTCAGGTACCACACACTTGGTTACGTGCCAGGCAGGACTCAAGGGAACTTCCCAACATGTTTCCCTTGGAAGGAGAAATTTCACAACCAGTGAAAGAGAATCCCTCGAGCTGGGATCAAATCCTATCAGGGAGAACTTTAGCTTCCAGGGAGACTTTAGAGTGTGTTGTGTTTTCTCTGGATTTTCTGTTCATGAGTACTGAAACCATGTTAGGTAATCCCCCCCCACCTTTGCTTTCATCTTCTTTCAACCCTAAACAGATTAATGAAAGAATACAGGCTGCCGAAGTTTATCTCCCCTGTGAACGAGCAGTTGCTCCAGGGAGGTTTGCATGGGGCCTTCCCAACAGATTCAGGGCCTGAAGCTGTGAACGCAGCCTCCACTCCAAATGTGTGTTTTCAGTACAGCAGCTCCCTTGTTCTCATTGACTGGCACGTTACTAATTTAGCCTTAGCTATTTACACTCATAAAAAGCTCCTTTTATCTTACAGACAAGGCGACCGATGGGAATCCAGTTGGGAAGGGATGCCTAAAAGAGCAAAGGATGGCAGCGTAGGCCTTGTTTACACATTGTCATCTATTCCTAAATTTAGTGGTTTTCAACATCTGCCCGGGTAGTGTGCTAAGAATTTCACAAGAGTACTGGAGACGTCTAAATTCGCACCCCTGAGGGTGGGAGGCAGGCAAGAAATGGGAATTCAATGTTTCCCCCGAACACGGAAGTGGACATGAGCAAGGAGGACCTCTGAGGGCACTGGAGGCGCAGCGCTCTACCTTTCACGTGCAGTTGAACCGCGCTGAGTGTCTGGCCAGCCGAGTTGCGCGCTGCGCACACATAGAGCCCACGGTCTTTGGCCTGGCAGTAGAGCACCTTAAGTACAAAGCCACCGTCGCGGTCGCGGTACATGAGGCGGCGGCGGTCGGGGAGCAGAGGGCGGCCCTCCCAGTGCCATTCGATCTCGGGCTCCGGCTTGCCCATCACGTAGCAGCGGAACTTGGCATGCTTGCCCTCGTTCACCCAGAAGGTCTTGGGTGCGCACTTGAGAGGCTCCACTACGGGTACGGGGGGCTCATCCGGGTCCTGGGGCGGGCTCTCGTGGGGCTGCTGCACCTGGAGCAGCGCGCCGGCCTGCGCGTGACCGTGCGCGTTGCGGGCGTGGCACACGTACACCCCAGAATCGGGCAGCCGCGCAGCCTGGATGCGCAGCGTCAGGCTCGCACCCCGGCCACCCGCTCCGCTGCCCGGCTCCAGCGCGAAGTGGCTGCTGTCCCACACTTCGTCCAAGGCCATCCCATCCTTCTCCCAGTACAGCTTGGGCTCCGGGAGGCCTCCCACCTGGCACGTCAGCACCACCTCCGCCCCGCGCAACACCCACTGAGACTGGGGCCCTGTTAGGAATATCGGGGCACTCTCCCCGGTGCCAGGAGGCGGCAGCGGGTGATCAGAGGACTGGGGCTCCGGCTCTGGAGCGGGGGGCTCCAGCACGGTCACGGCGGCCGCTGCGTAGGCCTCTCCGGCTGCGTTGCGGGCGCGGCACACATAGACCCCGGCGTCGGTGGGCAGAGCGCCGCTCAGCAGCAGGCTGTGCTCGGCGCCGTCCTCCGGGAAGCTCAGGCGCTCCGAGGCCACCAGCTGCTGCCCGCCTTTCTCCCACAAGACAGTGGGAGGCGGCTCCCCCAGGACCACGCATTTGAGCTCGGCCTCGGCGCCACTTACCACCCGCACGGGCCGCGGGAAGCGCAGGAAACACGGGGGGCTCCCCTGATCCCCTGAGTCAGCCTTCATCGCGGCCGCAGCAGATGGCCCGCCTGGGCGCGCGGGAAGGCCGGGAGCCGAGGCCGGAGCGTGGTGGAGCGAGCACTGGGACCCGTGGAACTCCGGTGCCTGCCCGCCTCCTTCTCCTCGACCTGAGCTGCAGCCCTGCTGCGCGGCGATTCCCGGGCCCGCAGCCCAGAACTCAGGGGGCAGTCCTTCCTGTTTGCTTGTGCGAGGGGCCCTGTAGGCTCTGCCCGCGGCCTGGCTTCCTGCTCTCAGGAGCCTCTCTTCCCAGCCCCCTCCCACAGCCTGGGCCTCTTTCCCCTCCTCCCTCCCACCTCCAGCGGCCAGGTCCCCAACTGCCGGCCAAGCTTAGGCCTGAGTGCCTGAGGCGCCTGCAGCTGCCAATCCCAAAAATATTCTCTGATGACACAGCTGGAGGACAAGAGCCCAGACTGGCTCCTCCAGGCTAAGTATAGAGCAGGCGGGACCACCTGCCCTCGGCCCAGAGCGCCAAACTCAGGGCTTCCCTCCCACGTTGGTCCTAGCAGTTGTGTGGTTGAAAGGGGCCCCAGAAAGGCTGAGGGGGTTGGTGTATTCTGTTTTCTTGACAAATGACACTTGCAGGAACTCATGACTGGCCAACCTTAGCACCCAGGCACCTGTGGTACCTGACAACCTGATGTCCTGTCCTGATGTCGACTCTCATTCGTGTGTGTGTGTGTGTGTGTGTGTGTGTGTGTGTGTGTGTGTGAGAGAGAGAGAGAGAGAGAGAGAGAGAGAGAGAGAGAGAGAGATAGGGATAGGTTGTATGCTTGCATGAATGGGTCAGGTCACTTGGGGTGAACACCCTCCACAGCCCCTTCCCCCACATTCTTGGCGGGAGTGGGAGATAAGGCTCAGGGTCACAGACATCTGCGTCAGAGATAGGAGGTCTCAATGCCATGGGCAGGGGCAACTGGGATTGTAGGGCGTGGGAAGGACTGGGGGAGACTGGGGTGAGAAGGGTAGAAGAAGGCAGGCAGTGGGATGGGGAGGTGAGAGTGGGGAGGTCCTGGACAGAAGGGACACAGGGCAGGGTGTGGGTTCCCTGTTGTCAGTGACAGGTGAACTATGGTGATCCAGCCGTCTCTGCTGCTTCTTTTGCTGTTGACCCTAAGGGATGGGAACAGCTGTCAGGGCCCAGAACTGGTGCGGGAACTTGTCCTGGCCAAGGTGAAGGCTCTGATCCTAGATGCCTTGGGGCCCCCAGCAATGACTGGGGACGGTGGGAACCCTGAAATAAGGAGGCTGCCACGAAGACACGCCCTTGGGAGCCTCGAGCACAGGACCTCTGAACCAGAGGAGGAGGATGTCTCTCAAGCCATCCTTTTCCCAGCCACAGGTAATGACGCTGGGGACTGGCAGATCAACGTTGGAAATTAGCTGGTACCCATCTCATGGGCCTGGGAGCCAGGCAGATTTGGGTGTGAATGGCAGCCCCAGCACTCAGCTGGCTTTGCAGCAAGGGGACAGTTCCTAAACTTCCCTGGTCATCATCAAATGGGTGGTGGTCTCTACTCAGGCTGGAGAGACCCAGTGGACCTGGCACAACTGGAATACGAAAGGGAAGATAAGGCTCTGTGGAGACAGAGCTCAGGCTCCTGTCTGCTTTCTATCCTCTCTCTCTCTCTCTCTCTCTCTCTCTCTCTCTCTCTCTCTCACACACACACACACACACACACACACACACACACACACAAAACCTGTTTCATTAGCTGTAGGCAGCTGGGACTCGAGAGAGGTCTCGGGTGCAGCAGAATGCTTAGCCGTGTTCTCGGGAGTCTCCCATCCCTGTGTGTGTTTCCCTTATCCCTATGACCGGAAGAGTAAAGTCCTCCCGCTGGGCTCCTTTCTCATCTGGCCCACTGTTCTTATAGAGAAGTCCCATTGCTTCCCTCCCTTTGGCCCCTGACAGCCGAGTAGGGAAAAGTAAGGATTTCAGATCAAGTGGAATCCCAGCTTGGCCGTGTAATAGCTGACTGCCAGTCACGTCATGGCTCTAGCCTCGGTGTCTTGTCTGAAAATTGAAACAATTGTTAGAATTTATAATGAGAGGCGACGTTCTAGCGCAGCCCCGATTGTCAGTCTTTTGATGACAGTTGGCCCGTAATATTTACTGTAGCCTGCGTGTATTTGGGGGCAGGGATGCCAGCTGCACTTCCCTGGGAACGACTGGCTTTCTTCTATTCTATTCTCCTGTTCTTTCCATTCTTTCTCTTTTCCCTCCCTGCTCCTCCTCCCCTTTCTTTTCTTGCTCTTCTATTTGATTATGCATACGCATACTTATGTGTGTGGAGATCAGAGTTTGGCCCTGGATGTCTTCCTCGGTCACTTTCCACCTTAGTTTTGGAGACAGTCCTTCACTGAACGGAGCTCACCAACGAGACTGACTTGCCAGCAAGCGCCGAGTCTCTACCTCCTCATTAACTGATAGAGACCACAGGGGTTCAGCCAGCTTACTATGTGGGTGCCGGGAATTGAACTCAGGTCCTGATGCTCAAGCAGCAAGGGTCTTAGCATATGAGCTCATTTGCTAAGGGTCTCCCAACCCTGTAAACTGTCTTAAAAAATATAATTATTTTTAGGGAATTTGTCATATAAGATTTCTGACATGCCAGGAGATATCAAAAGCAACATAAACACACATCCATACACACAAGATAATCACTGTGTTAATCTGATGAACACTAAAGTATGCCTTGCCAGGGGACCTGAGGGGAGCAGTAGAGAGAAAAGGGCTCTTACACATTGCTGTTGATAATAATTGGTAAACCGCCTAGGAGAGAGATTGCCAATGTCTTGCTTTGATGATGAATAGAGCCTCTGCCAGTTTTCCCAAGGTTCCAGAGAGTGTCTGGGTCTAGACACTCAACAGTGTTTGATACACAATCGGCACCGAGGGATAGCCTCCACATTCTTCTCGTGGAGGTGGAGGTGTTTCCAGTCCTACTGGTCAAGGCTGCCCTCTCTTTTCCCCTCTGTCCACTGCAGGTGCCACCTGTGAGAACCAGCCAGCTGCTGGAGGGCTTGCCCGGGAGGCTGGAGAAGGTCTCTTCACTTATGTATTCCGGCCATCCCAACATGTGCGCAGCCACCGGGTGACTTCAGCCCAGCTCTGGTTCCACACCGGACTAGATAGGAAGAGCACAGTGGCCTCCAACAGTTCCGGGACCCTGCTAGACCTGCTGGTGCTGTCACCTGGGGGGCCAATGGCTGTGCCTGTGTCCTTGGGACAGGGCCCTCCTCGCTGGGTAGTACTGCACCTGGCGGCCTCTGCCCTCCCTCTGCTGACCCACCCGGTCCTAGCATTGCTGCTTCGATGCCCTCTCTGTTCCTGCTCAGCCCGGCCAGAGACCACGCCTTTCCTGGTGGCTCACATCCGGGCTAGACCACCCAGCGCAGGGGAGAGGGCCCGACGTTCAACCCCCTCGATGCCTCGGCCTTGGTCTCCTGCCGCTTTGCAGCTGCTGCAGAGGCCTTCAGAGGAACCCGCTGCCCATGCCTATTGCCATCGAGCAGCACTCAACATCTCCTTCCAGGAGCTGGGCTGGGACCGCTGGATCGTGCATCCTCCCAGTTTCATCTTTCATTACTGCCATGGTAGCTGTGGGATGCCCACATCTGACCTGCCCCTGCCAGCCCCCGCGGTTCCCCCTACCTCTGCTCAGCCGCTGTTTTTGGTGCCAGGGGCCAAGCCCTGTTGTGCTGCTCTGCCAGGGAGCATGAGGTCCCTACGTGTCCGAACCACCTCAGATGGAGGTTACTCTTTCAAGTATGAGATGGTACCCAACCTTATTACACAACACTGTGCTTGTATGTAAAAGCATCTTGTTTTCTCACCCCACAGCCAACAGCCACCAGCACCCCACCATCATCAGCTAGGAAGAAAGCGGGGTGTGGAAAACAGGAAGTTTCCACATCCTCTTCCCTACATGTTTCCCTCTGAGGGCTCTTACCCTATTCCACCCCAATCCTGTGGGTAACAATAAAGAAGTGTGTGTGTGTGTGTGACTTTGTGTGCATTCTCAGCCTTGTTTGATATGGGGCTGAGGAAGGACATCTGGAGTCAGAGGGAATAGCATTGTGGGATTTTGGGTTACTCAGCTACATTTGGATTTGGAGATCTATCGTCTAAGAAGGTAAAATTAGGTGTGGATTTGTTGGGAAGCTGCCAGGTATCCCAGAGCTCTTTTACACCCACTCTAGGAACAAAATTGACCTTTCACAAAATGAGCTTGAGATGTCACACAGGGTGCCGGTCTTGCCACACCTAAAAGAAACTGTTGCTATCACCGTGGCTTCGTCCAAGGCTATCAGAGCCCCCACTATGGCTATGGTAACAGCTGTTCTCCGCTCTCGCTCACTGGTGTGTAGCTCAAGGTCAGGGGATTCATCGCCTAGGCAGAAACTGTGACCATTGCGGCACCACTGGGACAACTGTCCAGAGAGGGTCGCCTCTTGGGAGCTTCGGTGGGAAGAAAGGGGCAAACATATAAATTGACAGTGTCAGGGAGAAACTCTCAAGGAGAGAAGTTGTGTCATATTGAAGTCAGATGTCCAGAATGGAGTTTCAAGAATTTCAATTGACTGTGGGTCACAGGATTGCTAGACATCTGTTTTCAAACCTTTCTTCCAGCCCCTAACTGCTCCCACCCTTTTTTGAGACAAGGGCTCATCCCATAGCCCAAGATGGTCTTGAGCTGAAGGCAATCATGTTGCCTCAGCTTCCCAAAGTGCTAGGGATTACAGGCAGAGCCACCACACTTGGCTTTCATCACTGCCTATTGAGACAAACTCCAGGATGTCCCCTGACCTGGGACTCAGGCTCCTAAGATCCCTGGGTCCCTTGATGCTTCCTCTATATCTTTACACAACACTTAACTTAGTAGATAACATCAGAAAGATGGAATGACAACCCTCGGTTGGGAAAATGTGCTCCTTGGTGAACTGGTCCACACACACTTGGTGTGCACACCGAAGAAAGTGGGGCATGATACCAAACTGTGCTCTTTCTCATTTGCTTCCTTATCAATCCATTTTGCCTCCAAAATGGAGCATTAGGAACTTTCTCCTCTGGATTATTCCGGGGTACCAGCTCCCAGATGATTAGCCCTATCACAGTGTGGTATGTGTGTAAGGGGTGGGCTGGGATGTTCAATCTATCAGCACTTTCAGATCCTGATTGGAGGACTCTAGAGTGTTTCCGTACTAGCGCTAGCGGAGCCTCTCTCTGGCTTGTCAAAGGCTCCCTTCTAG